AGCTCTACTAAATTCACGATATTCAAGAAGACACTGTATCATCACTTATCCAAGTCAAGCAATTTTTGCTCCCATTACTTAATGCTAATTCCTTATCTCTTAAGCAATTTTTACATGAATTACGAAGTATTACTGATGCCAATCCCTCTTTAGGTAGTAAAATAGCATTATGTAATAGCAGCAATATGGCATTACAAAATATGTATAATAATATTTCGAATCGTGGTGAAGTGACCAAGGAAAAAATCCGCAATGCAGTAAAGAAAGGAACATACACATTCAAGCGAGTAAGTAAAGATGATAAATGTTCTGTGATGCTAACCTATCCATCTAGCACAGAGTCCAAACCATACAGCTTGAATGATTTGCATGATTTACGTGGACGAGCTCTTTTAATCTCTAAACCTGGAGCTGCAGTGGATTTAACTGCGATTCACGGTGAAAATGATCTAGCAAAAAATGTGATGGATGAATTTGTAGTACAGGTTGATTTAGCAAATGAGATTATAAACATTGCATCAAAATTAATTCAAATGGGTCATTTTGGATATCGTGAATTTAGTAGAGCTGCAAAGGGAACTGAACCTTTACAAAAGTTGGAACATGAATTGAAAGTGGACCTGAAACAATGGTAATGTTTTCTAACGTAAAATTTACTGTATTCTGTCACATTAACGTCCAGAAGAATGAGTACCACCCCTAGTTTAACCGCTTTACTTTGTGCTCAAAAAACATAATATTTATTGTCAAGTTAAAGGCAAAGAATTGTTTAAGCGAGCATTATTACCTTTTTTTTAATAGACTTAATGGTGTTAAAAGAGGTCTTATTTGTGGCAGGATACAATATATTTTAATCAGTGTGCGAAATTAAATGTTCCGAAAACATAAAAAATTCTATAAGATCTAAATTTGAATTTCTCACACTGGCTGTAATGATTAATATTAATCGCACATAAAATTTCCTATATATATATTACAGGGAAGATTTGGTAAATAAAGCACAAGAAAAACATTACTATTTAACCTTCTTTCCCGCACGTCATATCCTGGCCTTTTATGATTATTTCACGAATAAAGATGATCCCAATAACGTAGGACAGATCCTTAACAACGAAGAATGCCGTACACTTATACGATTTGTTAATAGTGAGGCTAAGTTGCCATCGCGTTCTGCGGAATTAATTATCTCAAGTGAAGATCAAAATTATTATCAAATTCTTTGCCAAATTGGAACTAAATTACAAAACATTTTTGAAAGTGTTCCTAAAAAAAGGCGTGATGTTAGAGATAAGGGTGGGCGCATTATGTCAGATGTTGTGTATCAAGGAAAGTTGTTCGTTGCTGCCTGCAGTGATAAAAATCTTGTTCCAAATATTATCATGAGTTTATATGTTAATCACGGGTAAGTCGCGCGTCAAGATTTGTCGATCATTTTGCTTTGATTGATTGAACCAATTCCAACTAGAATTTATGCTATAATTTATATTAAAATATGTCAGAGGAATCTTTTTCATATTAGAGCATGAAAAGTTCAGAAAAAATTTTTTTTACAGCTTTGTCGATCACGATCGACAAAGCCTAATACAGATTTCTTTTTTTGGTTCATCTCTGGCATTAAGTTGAGAATTATCGCTAACATTTTAATGTTGATTTTATTTTTTTTTATCATTAGGACATATCCTCAACCGTGGCAGTTACTAATATGTACTACTTCTACAACCATGGAAGAACTCTCAATTTTTATCAAGCGATGCTTCTTTGCCGCTAGCAATGGGTACGATGGATACTTGTTCTGTATTGCAAACCTAGAATTACTTGACTTTGAGCTGCAGTATAATCTTGTTAACAACATCCGATCAATGCGCAAAGAACAAACCAATTATCATTTAGCGCTTATCTGTTGTCGTGAAACTGGAATGCATCATCATATTTTGGATCAATTTTCACAGGAGGTTTATGCGACAAATGGACTTGGAATTGAAGCCATGAAGGTGATTTATCGTGAATTACGTCCCGATAATGTTTTGTGTTTGTCATCTGATTTGTCGGGTCAAGGTAAATCCGAGTATATTCGTCAAAGTAGTTTTGCTTGTAAAAAAGTCCCCAGAAGCTTCCTTATTAGCGATGGGGTTGATTTTGGAACACTTGTTCATCAATTCAAGGAATTTGAAGTTCGACCGGTTGAAAGTTTACATATAAACATTGTATCAGCTGATCATCCGGTGGACGTTAATATGTTTTTATTTGAATTGTTGACGTTGGGCGTGGTGTCAAACAATATGGACATAGCTTATCTTCCAGATACCATTGTATTTATCGAAGTTGCATCAACGGTCAACCAGCATTTACTTAAATCTTTACCAATGGTTGAATGTCTTAACAGTAAGCATCTTACGTGGGATATAGGAGAACTCATGGTATCACAGGAAATCAATAGCCCTATGCAAGTTGTATGCCATTACTTACTCGCGTATGATACTAATACGCTTGATAACAAAGACATCGTATTTCAAGTCACAAATAATGACACGCCACTCGTACCATTATCATCTAAACAATGTCAACCACTTATTGAAAAATATTTATTTAAAAACAAAAAAGTAGATGATATTTCATCATTTAGATTTGTAGAAATTAATTAATATCATGTTCTGCCACTGATCGAAGAAATATTATAAAGTCGCTGGCATTTGATAATTCTTTAATCAATTCCCAACAATTTTCATCGACTGCCGAAAGAAAATGATTAAAATATTTGTCAAAAAAATCATTCAATTTTCCTAGCCACAGGTAATCTCCGTTAAAGAATTTAATCAATTTGTCAAGCCAATCGTCCTTCGTATGAGTAACTTTGAAAATTGTTACAACTGCTGCTAACTGTTTGAGTCTTTCAATTTGCTTTGGAAATTGAGAAAGATGAGCGAGTGTATCAAGTAATTTTTGATTTCGTTCCATTTTTATATAATTATCCATAATATCAAGTTCATGATTTACACTTGAAACATTCTTCCACAAAATGCTGCCCTTAGAACATACAAGTTCCTCCCATTTTATGTATTCAAGACATAACTTCTTATATTCCTCAAACACTTGTGGAATTAAAGTCTGTGCAACTGCTTCTACTGTTAAATCTTCTTTGACTTGTATGATATTCTCAAAAATGTTACGGAACGTTTGAGATTTTGATGCTTTGTGTACACGTTCCGCAGCAACTCTGGTTTTTTTGTGGTATTCCCAATGATCAGGTGCTTGTGACTCTTTGAGTGTAGTATTTCGTAATCGTTTTGCTCGAGAATTTATATCATCAAGATATTGTTGAACATCTTTGACTTTTCCATGTGGACAAAATTGCGTGTAAAAAGTTCGAAGTTGGTCTGATATTAGTTCATAACTTTCACATTGTTTACGAAGGTTGTATATATTATCTTTACTTAATATGACAGAATCCCTTTTAGCAATAGCAGAATCAAAAAATTGGTATAATGTTTCATTATCATATTGCAAAAGTTCTTGCAAGTATCGAATAGAAATAGATTCATTTTTAATCATATCAGAAAATTTGAGTATCAGTTCTTTAGCTTGAGTTACATATTGATGTTTATTCAATTGTTCAACATGACCGGTTGCATGAAGAAGTAATATCCAAAACTTTGCAGAACGAAGTAAAGATATTGCAGTGGTGGTTATATTTTCATACGAAATTGGGTAACTCTTTTGTAATCTCTCCATGATATAGCATATAATTTCTTCATTTAATCTATGCAAATAAAATTATTAAATTAATTAATTGGTATACATGTTGTAAAGCATATAGAACATTTGTATATATCATTCCATGCAAATAATGCTTACTCATGAGGTATGTTAAGAACCCTTGAATTACAACCACATATATATTGCATTTTTGTTAAAAGATTGTCGTCTGCCTCTCTAACAGAATTCTTTAACATGCCCTTGATCATTTCACCATAATGCATGTAAATATTGGGTTCCGTCTTAATAATAAGAGATGTCGCTCTTAAAATTTGATTTTCTGAACACTGTTTAACACGATCTATGGCAATATTAATTAATTGCATAAAAATATTGTGATGATTTCCAATAATTGGATAAATATGTGATAAATTATCGAAAACAGCATAAGCGAAATTCCGATCATCAAAGGATGTTTTTGATGATGTATTGTCATTAAAATGATCCAAAAATTGTTGATACCATTGATTACATATTTCAAGAATTATTTCGGACATTTCATCTTTTACATCATCAAATTTAAACCAAAAATGAAGAAGTTTTGGAAATATCATCAATAAATTTACCTTTGATGATAACGAAACTCGACGAAGTGTTTCAAGGAAATCTTTCTTAGTCCAATTAAGTTGAGAGTTCAATAAAATATTTTGAATTGAATTTGAATTTTGTTTATTCCATTCATGATATGCATTTCCTAATAATTGTATAGCTCGTATATGGAATGCCTCAGCAACTTCATTTCGAAGTTCAACAGGCACTTTGTCAAGACATTTTGCTAAATCTGTTGCATCTCCGGCCGAGATAATTGCCTGAACACGAGCGAGAAAAGGTTTGCGAAGCAATTCATCTCTTTCTTGAGTGTGCTCAATAATATCCATCCAAATATTTAAGAGCTGATCAATCTTAAAACACATACGAATCAACCACTGTCATTAAAAAAAAAAAAAAAAAAGTTATATTTAT